TAACTTTAACAATACCATACAGCAGGGGCGTAGCCAGGGGGGGGGGCATAGGGGGCCCGGGCCCCCCTACGAAAATCTGATAATTGTTTTATTAAGTATTTATAGAGAAGAACCAGTTAATGCAGAAGAAGTGATGAAAGAAATGTCAAAATCAGCACGAAAAATTAAATTTAATGTATGAATAATGAATTAAATATTTAAACTTATGAAGAATGAATATAGATTTAAGGATACAAAATAACGGTTTTCTAATTTTCGAAAATGGGCCCCCCCCTTAAAAATTTTCTGGATACGCCCCTGCCATACAGCGATCATGGGTTCAAAACTGGATATGGGAAATTTTTCGCTTGTCCTATTTCAAACCATATATACTAGAAATGAACACAGACTTCTCTTTTTGGCTACAGACAGAAATATCATTTAATGAGTGGCTCGGATCCCACTATAAACTGTAGGTCTAGGTTTGAGCGGGCAACTGTCAAACTATATTTCATTGAAACTATTATTAACCTTGTAACGCACATAAAGTTTTCGTCTAGGCCGACGCTAATGGACCTCAATAACGCTAATTTAGTTTCAATCCCCGAGATCAACCAGAAGAATGATGATTAGTTGATGCTTCAAACCATTGCATATTCCAAAATCAGTGCTAAACCCCAACTCTAGCACTGTCATCTTCATGCCAAAACATAAACTCACCTGAAATTTATCTCTAATCCCTCCATCATCCTACAAGCACAACTCTCATTTTCGTTATAATTCCCAAAATAGCAAACCAAACATGAACGCTTAAAATCTAATTAAAATATCATTCCCGTTATAAAATTCTAAAGTTCAGAACTGAAAACCCATTAGCAAACATTCACGTGTATCACTTGGCATTTCCAATACGTTTCCTTTAATAATTATCAATGTTTATAGACAAGAAATGAAAGAATTTGTCACGCACAGCTAAAACTTTGTTTTTTTTTTGTTTTTATTTGGTGAAACTTTTCACATCGAGCTTGATTTATGTGTGAAGAATAATTGAAGCGATAGACAATTAAGTCGTTTGTCGAATTCCGTGAGCTTAGAAAGTTTTCTTGTTTCACCTTTTTTTTTTGCTTGCTCGACGCACATAAATTTGAGGCAGTTTGATGGGAATAAAAGCTGAAAGTATTATGTAAATTGCCTACGGAATGTTCGAGCTTTCTCTTCATGAGAATCATTACTCTGTGTATGCTTTTTCTTGGAAAATTTATAGACTAAGATGGAAATTTTTAAAAGATGCTGAATTTAATATTAGTTTAGAGACTTTTGACTTTTGATGGATGTCACTGAGTTCAAGGTGAGGTTGTACAATTTAGGTTAAAGCTCAGTCAATTTTTTTTTTTTGATGATGTTTGATCATATCGTCCAGTATTTGGGCTTGGAATACAGAAGATGTAGTGTCGCAGGAAAGTGGAATCTGGGTATAAAGTGATATATAAGCGAATCTGCCAATGCGAGATTTAGGAGTGTGTGACGCGAGTAGTAATGCAACGGTAACCCACCAAAGACCGATCTGGTTTTGTAAGGACGTAGGTTCGATTCCCACAAAACCTCTCAATCAGTATTACAGATTTTTTTCGAAATGGCATTGTGCTCAAGTCATTACAGGTGAAAAGGGAGTTGAAGAGGGGTTAAAAGTTAACTCAAAAGCAGTGTTTCTCAAACTTTGGTCGTCGACACGCAAGTTTGTCTCAAAATGTGTAAACACAACCTTCCAGTATTTCATGAAAAGTACGTTTAAACCAGTTTATACTCAATAAGTGGTGGCTTTCGAAAAACTTTGAGAACCACTGCATTAGACCTTGAAATCTGCAACTTTAGAATTTTTGAATTTTTCGATTTTTTTTTTATATAAAATTTCTCAAAGTTCTCACAAGAACTTTTAAAGCTCAAAATAATTCATGTCGATTTATAAAGTGCAGAACCTTTCAGCACATATTTTTCCATAAATTTCGAGTACAAGCAGAAATAATGATTACCGAGAAATTCTATTTTCATCTCATTCTTCTCTTCAATCAATTCAATTTACATTTATACATGATATGCTTGTTATTAAATCACGACTGAGTAGAAAAGTTCTTTAAATTAATTTTTCAAAATAAATTGTCGTCTCGATTTTTGAATACATTGTAGCTTTGCATTAATTTTAATGATATTCGTGAGCTAAAATAAGAACATCAAAAATTAAATGACAGAAAAGCTATCAGTGCTGGAAAAAGAAGACAAAAATGAGTCAAATTTCAGACATTTCAATCATTTTTAATGAACCATTCAGTTGCTTCTTCATTCGGTTGTAAATTCGTGGAGATAATAGAGCAATCATGTCAATTTTGTACTGTTTTAATTATTTTGTGAATATGTAATATGGATTTTCTATGAAGAAGTGATCAATATGGATAGGAGGTCATTAAAGGATTGGGTGTAATAAAGCCTTATTGAAAACAGTTGGAATTTTTGATGATTTTTTGGGGAATCTTATTCATAAGCAACCGCTGTACCTATTAAATATCTCAGATACATCTATAATGCTACATCTAGTGATGACCAAAAGGTGTGCCGCAAAAAATTTGAGAAATTTTCTATGTGATGTGTGCGGTTTGGTCATGGTTTACCTTCAGGTCGTACCGTGGTACAATAAAGTTTGCCCTCTACTGCACTACATCAAAGGCTAGTTTCAATCATAAACATCCTCTTCATTTACCAATAGCTATACCATTTGGAGGTTATAAATAAATTTACATCAAAAAATCGACCTATGGACCTACCCTTAGCTGGGAACTCTCTCTCACATTCTTATTGATATTATTAATATTGAGCCTTAATATCGAAAAGATTCCATCACCTGTGCATTAACCCTCTTCATAAACATTCTCAAACCAATCCACAGTTTAAATCTTCCCACGTTAACGATAGCAAACTCTATCAAATCCTTATAATGACAAAATAATCGCAGCTAGATTCCACACAAAAATCCATTTTCAAAATACCTCAAAATACTCTCCTAGAATCAAGCACTGTTCCACTTGACTATATAATTTAAATTGTTTTGGATGCTGGTTGAGAGAAATGCGGAAGGATTAAAATAAATTCACGTCTAAAAAAAGCTCAATTCAGTGCACATCCGAGAGGGATTAATATGGTTTTAACCATTGAAATGCGTTGCATGGTGGATTTATGCTCATGCATAATATAAACTGGATGTAGTCGTGCTTTTATGATACTCAAATTTAATGTCAGATTGAAGAATATTGTTGAAGTTTGTGGGGAAGTGATGACGGATTGGGATTTAAAGGTAAAAATTGGAATCAGTAATGAGTCAACAGGTTCATGGTTTACTGTCGATTAAGTTGAAAATTGCATGGCTTCATGACTTGATGATCGATTTTTTTAATTAGTTTTGGGAATGGAATGATTGAAGGATGAAGAAATTGGGATCCTGAAGCTTCAATCTCCTGACTAATTAATCAATTCCCCAAATGAAAAAAAAATTTTACCGCAAAATTCAATTCGAAATAAAATGAAAATTTAAAGCATTTCCTTCGATAACGTAATAAATTATTCACTAGCTCCTGCTCCCCATGAAAATTCAAAACCCAAATAAATAAACCGCAAGAAATGGTGGAATCATTTAAATGCTTCTCAATATTTCACATAAATATTTAAATTTCATCATGACAGAAGCTTAATTTCACATCAATTACTTTCCAAATTATAGTGGTTTGACATTTCATTACATTCGTAGCTCTGTATTTAATTATTTATGGAAATCATTTTGGGAGAAGTTTGCGAGTAAATAACAGATATAAATTTTAATTGCTTTAATTAAATAACAGACTTAGATCTTGTTATTTTGTAGGTTTTTAATTTTAATTACGAGCGAAACATGTTTTCATTTGATGGAAATTTTTATTATTTTAAGAGTTTTGAGCTTGAGGGGTATTATGGAAATAATGAAGTGCTAATGATGGGTGTTGATTTTTAGGTCAGTTTGAATAACCCTTAGCTTTAGGGATGCTTCAGGTAAAAGGATGCTCAGTTTAAGTGACGCTCAGCTTTAAAGATGCTCAGCAAGAGGGACGCTTAGATTTAAAGATGCTCAGCTAAAGGGATGCTCAGCTAGAAAGACGCTCAGCTAGAATTATGTTCAGCTAGAGAGATGCTTAGCTAGAGGGATACAGCTAGAGGAATGCTCAGCTTTAAAGATGCTCAGCTAGAGTTACGCTCAGCTACACGCATTATGAACAAGAGAGATGCTCAGCTACAGGTATTCCGAAAAAAAGAGATTCTCAGTTTGAGAGACTCAGCTCGAGCTCAGCTAGAGGGATACTCAGCTTGAATAATGCTCAGTTTGAGAGATGCTCGGCTTAAGAGACGCTCAGTTTCAGAAACACTCTGCTAAAGGGATGCTCAGCTTGATAGACGCTCAGCTTGAGAGACGCTCTGCTTGAGAAACACTCTGCTAAAGGGATGCTCAGCTTGATAGACGCTCAGCTTGAGAGACGCTCAGCTTGAGAGACACTCTGCTAAAGGGATGCTCAGCTTGATAGACGCTCAGCTAGAGGGATGCTCAGCTTAATAGACGCTCAGCTAGAGGGATGCTCAGCAAGAGGGATGCTCAGCAAGAGGGACGCTCAGCTAAAGAGCTACTCAGCTAGAGAGCTGAAAAATCTAGTCTTAATACTATTCACAATAATAAATTTTCAGTAAAGCATAGAAAAGGAAGTAAAATGGACAGAAATTTATTCAAAAACTCACACAAGAATCTTTCAAAGTCCCTTGTTATTCAATAATAAAGATAACCCTTATTTGATAGCCTTCTGCTTCTAATGCTCAACAAACAAAATGAAATAAAAAAGTCAAATAGAAAATTACGAAAATCAAGTGTCCCATATTATTTAATTTGAAAAACTTTCCTAATGACTCAATTAATGTTAATGACACTTTTTCTTGTCATTTTCATTTCCAAATAGGTCTCATGGATTCGAAAGCGTGATCTTCACATCATGACAATTGGCATATTGACATACACAAATGATCAACGCTATCAAGCTCTTCACACGGAGGGCTCAGATGAGTGGTCGTTGCGCGTTACATCAGCACAACCTCGCGATAGTGGTGTTTTCGAGTGTCAAGTATCAACAGAGCCGAAAATAAGTCAAGCATACCGTCTCAATGTTGTCGGTAAGTATTATTCATTTGAATGCGTACTTAATGGATGGAAAAAATGTCAAACTTTTCAATTTTTTTTTTATTCTGACAAAACTTTTAAGTTCGTTGTCAATTCTTCTTCTTTTATCCGTGCGACAACAGTGGCAGCATTGATATTTTCCATCAATGGCATGCCGCTATATCTTCAATTTACTATATAACGATGCCTCGGAACAAGATAAATATCATTTAAAGAGATGTGAAAGCTTAAAGCGATTTTCTTTTCATTCTCGTCAAGTCAAAAGAATATTTTTTTTTTGATGAACAATTTTTTTCTTTAATTTTCCTTCTGTTTTCTTCGTTTTACTGCTTCTGTGCTGTTCCTTGTTTCTTTTGTTGATTACTTTCGTAAAGTTTTTTTCTGTTTTGTGTTCTCAAAAGCTTATTGTTGTCTCAAAAGTTTACTTAAATTTTTGTTGTGCCTTTATTTTTTACAATTGATTGTCTCTTGTTCGCAGTTTTTGGGGCGAATGGAAGTTGGTAGTGGATAGTAGAATTTATGTGAATGAACTTAATTTGAATGGCGCAGAACTTTTAGTAATGGATATTTCGTGTAGTTTTATTGATTTTATGGAGGATTTTGTTATGACATTTTGAGGTTATGTTTCCTTAAAAGGTCATTTACTTGTAAAGCTAAAGAGTCATCAACGTATGAAGTTCCAAAACTACTAATTAGTGCATCTGAGGTCGATTCTTGTTATACTTCTTCGATATAGTCCGGTATGTTAAGGGTGCACGACTGCCCCCCTCTACTGTACGCCTAAAATACCATACAGCTATAAAACCTAGTAATGCACCTACACTGTAAGCAATACTGAATAAATCTGATCAAAACAGATCCAGAAATGAATTTGACCTTATTAGTGACCTTGCCACAAGTATACAATCTTAAGGTAATTTTTGCTACATTACTCATGATACAAGCTTCACCAGCACACTTAATAAGACGTATCATCTTTAAAAAAAATCACAACCTTCAATCGAATTACTCCATCCACTCATCTTGTTAATTAGTCAACCACCCCTTTAATCTTCCTAAAGTGAATCTACTTATTGCATAAAAGCTTGACTACAAAAAAACTTAAATAAAAATGTTCAAAGGAAAAAATGGAAAAACATAATAATAGCAAGAAGACTGATGATGATGATGATGATGATAAGAATAATGGAAGGGTCTTATTAAAGGGAAAGAAAAACAGGAGATGAAAAATAAAGCTTTTGTGGTTGCTTCTCCGTGGAATTTTAGTTATTATAAATGAAAAATGTATTCTTTATGTTTCCTAAATGGAAATTGAAACAAACGGATGGAGAAAATAGAGCGAATGATGGCAAAACAGTAAAAGGCTTTTGTGGTTGCGAAACAAACCAACTTGAACCTTCAAACACTTTAATGTTTTTTTGGCAAAGTTTCTTATCAAAGGAAGAGATGCTGTTGTTTATGGAAAGTCTTGTTGTTCGTTTCATTGCTAAGTAGGTCGGTATTGTGGGAAAATATAAAGTTTTTAATTGAGTTATAGTTTCGAAGATGAAATTTTTAAGTTTCGGAAGTGAAATTTTAATTTCGAAAGTGAAATTTTAATTTCGAAAGTTAACTTTTAATTTCGAAAGTGAAATTTTAATTTCGAAAGTGAAATTTTAATTTCGAAAGTGAAATTTTAATTTCGAAAGTGAAATTTTAATTTCGAAAGTTAACTTTTAATTTCGAAAGTGAAGTTTTAATTTCGAAAGTGAAATTTTAATTTCCAAAGTGAAATTTTAATTTCGAAAGTTAAATTTTAATTTCGAAAGTGAAATATTAATTTCGAAAGTGAAATTTTAATTTTAAAAGTTTACTTTTAATTTCGAAAGTGAAATTTTAATTTTAAAAGTTTACTTTTAATTTCGAAAGTGAAATTTTAATTTCGAAAGTGAAATTTTAATTTCGAAAGTAAAATTTTAATTTCGAAAGTTAGCTTTTAATTTCGAAAGTGAAATTTTAATTTCAAAAGTTAAATTTTAATTTCGAAAGTTAACTTTTAATTTCGAAAGTGAAATTTTAATTTCGAAAGTGAAATTTTAATTTCGAAAGTGAAATTTTAATTTCGAAAGTGAAATTTTAGTTTCGAAATTTAACTTTTAATTTCGAAAGTTAAGTTATGTTTCGAAGAATATTTTTAATTTCAAAACTCAAAATTCAGACTCAAATTCAAGTTTGTTTCATATTAATGCGTCCTTTATAAAATCCACACTCACTCGCCTTCTAAACTTAATCCTTCCTTTTACAAGCCACAACAGCCGACATTGAGTCTAAATGATGAATGTCTAAAGTGGTAGCTAGTTCATTAGTAAATTGTTAGTAAATTTTCCAACAATGAATTTCCATCTCACCATGTATCCCTAAGCTTTATCATTTAACATCTCTAATTAACTGCTGCTGCCTAAATAGAGGGATTTGATGCTATTATTTGAAATAATCACAATCGCATGGGAAAAATTTTCTCGAGGCAAAAGCAAAAAAAGGAAAATTATTCATTTGAAATTGATACTAAAACAACAATCTCATGTCAGTTCTATGGAATGATTACAACATCAACCGGCAACAACAGCGGCAATAACAAATAAGGAGGGAAGAAGAAAAAGCAATCAGGCAATGGTAGTAAAATCTCAGCAGTACAGAAATTATTACATTAAATGCCTATTTGTGATTCCATAAGCATTTGTAGCATTTTCGTATGTATTTTTGTGCTTTCTTCTTACTCACGACTTTTGCTGCTGCTGCTTCGCAATTTACGCAATAATGATTTCTACTCTCATTCTTACTGCCTTGCCTTCATTTGCTCATGCTTTCAACATCTTCTTCTTGTGCTTTATATTATACTTTGCTGTGTCGATTGTGCTTTCTTTTTGGTGCAATGTTAAGGGAGAAATTATTGAGCTCTTTTGATCAGTTTGACTAGGTGGATGAATGAATGTTTATGGAATTTTTTTTGGATTTGAGTGAGGTGTCGTGTCGTTGATCACGTAAGCCATTTGTTTGTGTTTTGCGCATTAATAGCTGTATAAGGTTGAATCCTTTATAGTTGTTAAGAATTATAATGCAGATGGCTTTAATAATATCTGCAAATTTTAATTAAAATGTATTTCAAGACATGAAGCTGGGAAAGTGATGGCTTGGCGTCAGGCTTTACTGATGTCACTTTGGTCATACGATAGTGCCAATAGTTTTCATTATGGCTATTAGTGGTAGTCCTGAATCAAAAATCGATGATTTATACTTTAAAGTATAATTGAAGTTTGATTTTTACTAGGGTAGCCTCGAGCTTTTAGAAGCTAGCCTTTGTAGTCACGTTTAATGATTGACATTGATGCTAATTAGATCTGGAGCAATAAATCCTAGAGCTTTACCAGAATAAACATCACATTAAAAAGAGAGAAGTTTTAATTCGTGCATCATCTTCAATCGACTTAAATCAGTAATCTTCTTCTTTATGAGATTCGAACCAAGTCGTTAATTGTGTTTTTTGTGACCAACACTATACCATCACTAGTTACGCCATGTTAATGACAACTCAGTATCTATTTGAGGTTATGTCACATCTTTATTTAGAGTATACACAGCACTTCATGCCGAAATCTATCAACAAGAATCCACATCAAATTACCTAAATCAACAAAAAAATGCGCTCAAACTTTCCACACCTTCCACAATCGTCCTCTCACACTTTTCAGCTTTACTCTCATTCTTGATGCCTTTTCCATTTACAAAATGGAATGAGACGAGCGTTGAAAAAAAAGTAGCAAGTAATGACATGACGAGAAAGAGTAAGAAAGCGAATGAGAATAAAAAGAAGATGCGAAATATCATTATTTCGTCATGTAACGAGAAAAAAGCTGCGGAAGTTGCTTATAGTTGCCTTCCCATTGGGAAAACTTTCTTTTTTATTTTCAAAAGTGCTCCTAATAAGTTGAAGGTTTGGCAATAATTACTTCCGATTTTTGTGCGTAATTTCTTTAATGTGAAATGTTTAAAAAAATTTTAGTGGAGATGGAACAATTAAAGGATTAAAAATCTTAACTTGAAATAATTAAGGAAATGTGCTTTTCTGGGAATTTTCTATTGTTTTGTAATTTAAATTCAGCCTTAAGACATTAGAAATAATTATGAAATAGAATATTTTTCTGCGCCAAAATAAAACCTTTTGCCTTAAAAATCAATATTTAATATTTTGAATTGTGAATTTTTTCACCCTTTAAGCTCCTTCCGGGGAATAAAATGTTTGAATATTAAATTATTTCTGCCACTTCCTGAATCCTCAAATAAGAAAACACAAAAATTCTCTTTAATAATTTAACAAAAGAATTTTTCAAACATTTTTTTATGAAACGTGATGATTTTCATGTTGGGTTATGAATTAATAATATTAAATGTATGCTTTGTTGAATATTTCTCGCTGGAATTCAACCCATTCCCACCCTCTTTTGGCTGTAAGTTTTACTCTTTTGATGAAACAATTGAATGAGTAACATGGAACCTGTGGTTGGAAACTTTGAAATTTTTTTGTGGGTGGTGTTTTGTGTTTGCTGTGCTGGTTTATGATATGATGTGGATGTGGAATTTTTTGAGGTTATGGATGCGGGATAATTAAGGAAAGTCTTGAAAATACCACAAAAATGATAGAGTCATAAGAAATAAAATTAAATATTAATCAAAAAATGAAGGACTTTAAAGTGTCTGGGAAGTATCTGATGCTATTAATCTAATGTTTCTGGAATTTTGGAATCGTATAGACACTCAATAATCTTAAACAATTCAAAAATGATCATTTTGGGTCCCAATCAGTTTAGCATCAGTTTAGCCTCACCTAGGTTGCGTTGTATATTCAAAATAAATATCCATCACCAGAGCTCGAAATCGACATAATTTTGTATGGATTTGAGTCGACTCGTAGTCGACTCCACCATACAAAATTGATAAAAATCTCGAATCGACTTCGAGCTCTGTCCATCACTTTAGAAAATATTAATCACTTACTTTTAACAAAGCAAGTGCTTCGGCTAGCTCTTGAAAACGGGGAGCTACGCACCTATCACTAGATTTTATGGCTGACATTAGGCATTCTTATCCCTAAACATGCTGCTTTGCTTTTAACAAACCACACAAGTATCCAATCCCAGGATTAAAACAACATCAAGATATGCTGCGTTCATATGTTGTTCACTACGCATAAATTATTGTCTGGATGTGAATTGTGCTTATGGAAAGCAAACTTTTTCATCTTCTTATTCATCGTTGAATTACAAGACATTTTCCATCCCTTACATTTTGATTTCAATTTCATGTTTTGCATCATTAACATTTACATCTTCTTATTCTTTTTATTTTCATACTCAACCACTTACGCAAATTATCCAGTATCAAAGGCGAAAATTCTTGGCAATCCCGAATTGTACATAAAAAGTGGCAACGACATCAATTTAACATGCACGACATCACACGTCACAAATCCACCGTCATTTATCTATTGGTATAAGGGTGGTCGTGTTGTAAACTATTCACAGCGTGGCGGCATTAATGTCAGCACTGATCGCACCACGAAAACTAGCAACTTAATTATATCGAGGGCGGCACCGTCTGATAGTGGAAATTATACATGTGCACCGAGCAATTCAGGTAAATTAATCAAATTAATTGACTCAATTGATAGTAGACTGCAGAATGAGATTGTGCTTACAATGCATTAAATTGTTATGGGAGCTTGAGCATGGTGTGCTTGGCAGAGTTGGTGACTGAAGAGGCTAAGAACTAGATTCTATTAAAATCATGCTTCAGAACTTAATCCAAAGCAAAAGAGGAGTTTAAAAGATTACTGAAGATCAAGTTCGACATCAAGTCTACAATGACCAACTCTGTCGACCACAACGACAAACTTTATTCCCAAACAATTTTTCCGCTTTGTTCTCCCCCGCTAATTTTCATTAATGTACATCTCGACTATAGATGCTGATTTCGTCATGGTACATGTGATAAACAACATCGATCCAGCGGCCATGAAGCATGGCAACAACAGCGGAACAAGTCTCTCGATATCATATAGATATAACAATTATTATCAACATTCAACGTTCATTGTATGGAAATATTGTCTTGTCATATTAGTACTGATAAATAAATCATTTTCAATTAGGTGACTATAGTAGGAACTTGTAAACTGTACATAATATACATAAATAAATATGTTAATTAATATGAAATGGAATGAATTGAAGAAGAAAAAAACAACATTTGTCGTGTTTTATTTCAATATTTACTCATAATTTGAAATTACAGCTGAATGATTATTACTGTTTACATGCATGGCAATTGATAATCATAACGAGTTATATGTCATAGTTGGTGTACGACTTTCAGGTTCAAGTTAAATACATAATCAATATTGACTTACTCGTGGATCAATAGTATTAATATTCTGACTGACAATTGTCAATGTTTTAATTTCAAATTGTGGAATAATAAACGAAACTTTATTGGTATTGATACTTATGGTTGCTTCTGGTCATTTGATGCTGTTCAAATTTGTACAAAAAATGTGTAAATATTTAAACAACTTTTTGTGGTCACTTGTGGTTATGAGAATTTTTCGAAAAGGTTGAGGTTCTGAGATTTTTTGTGATTTATTTCAATCCACAAATAATAATTAATCAAAGTCTTAATAATAATTAAGATAAATTTTGAAAAATATGAAGGAAATTTTTGGTTCTTTTGAGGTTTGGCTGGTATTCAAAATTATAGTCTAAAAGCTTGCTAAAAGCTAAAATACAGCCAAAAATCACCCAGGAATTTTTTGGTGAACCTAATTTTGATTCACACAAATGGTTCATTGCTCTAATAAAAAGTCTTTAAGTTAATGTTTAGTTATTTTATATTAGCTTGTGCAATCAAGGAACTAATGTTAAGCTTAAGAAGCTAGTAAAGCCATGAAGCTAGTAAAGTCAAGATGCTAGTAAAGTCAAGAATCTAGTAAAGTCATGAAGCTAGTAAAATCAAGAAGCTAGTAAAGTCATGAAGCTAGTAAAGTCAAGAAGCTAGTAAAGTCAAGAAGCTAGTAAAGTCATGAAGCTAGTAAAATCAAGAAGCTAGTAAGGCTAAAAAGCTAGTAAATTGTAGAAGCTAGTAAAGTCAAGATGCTAGTAAAGTCAAGAATGTAGTAAAGTCATGAAGCTAGTAAAATCAAGAAGCTAGTAAAGTCATGAAGCTAGTAAAGTCAAGAAGCTAGTAAGGTTAAAAAGCTAGTAAATTGGAGAAGCTAGTAAAGTCAAGATGCTAGTAAGGTTAAGATGCTAGTAAGGTTAAGTTGCTAGTAAGTTTAAGAAGCTAGTAAATTGTAAAAGCAAGTAAAGTCAAGAAGCTAGTAAAGTCAAGAAGCTAGTAAGGTTAAGAAGCTAGTAAGGTTAAGTAGCTAATAAGCATAAGAAGCTTGTAAGGTTAAGAAGCTAGTTAAGTCAAGAAGCTTGTAGGTTTAAGAAGCTAGTAAAGGAATGAAGCTAGTAAGTTTAAGAATCTAGTAAGGTTAAGAAGCTAGTAAGTTAAAGAAGCTGATACGTTTAAGAAGCTAGTAAAGTCAAGAAACTAGTAATGTCAATATCCATATTAAAGTATTACTAATTGGAGAGTCAAAAAAATTTGACATTAAAGTTATGCAATTAATTAATAGAAACAATTTGCCTTATTATGTAACTCATTATAATCACAAAATCAATTCTTCCTAAACATTATAATCTCTCAATTAGCGAGTAATCCTATAATTGGATATTCCTCAAAAATAATAATAATATTTAACAAGCACAGATTACAATTTTCCGCATCGATTACTCATCCATAAAGCGTAAACAAAAACACTTTTAAGCAGTTCCATCAGATCTATTAAAGGTTAAAAGGTGTTCCTCATTTCCACAACTATGAATAATATTCAATTAACGAATTTCACCTTTGGGATTTATTTTTATTTCACAGATAATCTCCTATTATTGATTTTCAGTCATGCATGAAAACAAAAACAGAAACAACATTAAATCCAGTTAGAATGTCTCCCTCTTATTGTTGAATTATGTAAATAACAAGAAAAAAATACCTTTGATTGCACACACATAGTGAGTAGGACTATGTTTATTAAAATGTAATGCTTATCACATGCAAGCAGGTCACATTAAAATTATTCCTCATTCCTACATAAAGCACCGGAGGCAGTCAACCATCACATCATTTATTCAATCGCACAAGTAATGGACATAATTTGTTGATTTGTTGTACAAACATATCATTTACATGTTTTACTCATTTAACAATATCAACTGAGAATTACCCATTGTACCCCCCTCTCGTGTTCCTTTTTTGTCAGCAGCAGCTCATATACGCACGCATTTCCATTTGTATACAATAAACTCAACTCAGCGGTAGAACAACAGCTATAATAATATGATTAGAATATGGATGTGAGTGCATTTATAAAAACAACAATAGTAATGTTATTCACTGGTGGGTTTTATGCTAATTTTTTCAGTGTTACTTCCAAACTTTCAACTCCTTTTTGTGGAAGTTTTTGTTGAGTGGATGTGTGGATTTAGGATTATTTTGACTTGATGTCTTTAGGATATTTTTTTATGGATTATTGGTGATTATTGTTTGGTTTATTGCAATTTAAAATCATTCCATGATCAAGGGTCGGTTTATAGCCAGTGGTTCTCAAACTGTGTGATGGGATAAAATTTGAAATCTAAAATTATCCAATATTTTTCTGTTTTATGACTTCAAAAACGTCATGAAAATTATATAATGTCCAGACTATCCAGATGTGATTGTGAAAAATGTGCTGTAGAGCGAAAAAGTTTGTGAAACACTGGTTTAAGGTTTTAAAAAAGGTAGAGCTGGAAAGAGCCCAGCTTTTTTGAGCTGGAGGCACTGCGATTCAAATTAGAACAGAATATTTTGTATTACACCCTTTAGACTTACAGTTTATAGTAGTTTAAGGTTTAACTCTTACCCAAATTTTGAGGTTAAAATAAAATTTTCCTGTGACTATGGCAGGCACCTTTGGGAGCCTTAGAAACCACCAAAACTGAAATTAGACACAGATAATGACTGCCTAAGTTTAAAGCTCAAGTTTAACATACTTAAAAAGATCTACAAAATCAAAGCAAAATGAAACAAAAATTTTTTTCAACTGTGTCAAATTTTATCTTGAAATTGTTTTATTAGACAAAGCAAATCTCCAAAAATGACGCTATATCCACCCAATAATCAAAAATCTCTACAACTCAACATTTTCATTACCACTCATTTGACCGGATAATGGAAATGTATATCATAAGGTGAGTGAAATATTGCATTAAACACTTTTTTTCCTCCCTTCATTCAACCCCAAACTTTGAGTTGATCATGATAATGAAAATAAAAAAAAGTAGCATAATGTCAGCTACAATTATTCACGAATTTATTATGAATATCAAATGTATCAGAAGGGTTGGTAAATAATGAAAAAAAAATACGTGAAACAAAGTTAATTTTGGTTAAAAAGAAAACCATGAATTGTTTAATTTTGAGACTTTTATTGAAGGGGAATGTAATGATGGTTGAGCAACTTATTTTTGAAAGGAATTGTAAAGACAGATGAGATAATTATGGTGTGTGAAAGTAAATACAGTTATTATTGCTAAAGAAATTGCAGTAATTCATGTGAAATCCTTAGTGTCAGGGGCGTAGCTAGGAAGTTGAAGAGGCAAATTTAGCAAAATGAAGAAATTTCTCAAGACGAAGGGGGATTTGTCCCCCAAATCCTCTGTGAAGCTTTCAAAAAGCTGTCTACTAGAATCTTTTGTCTGCATATTGAAACATCTAGAAGGAAGAAGCAAACTTCTAGATGACAAAACCACAGAAAAAAGTATAACTCTGAATAACGGATCCCGAGTGGGGCTCGAACCTACGTCCTACGATTTCCGGTTGCATGCTCGTACCACTGAACTATTGGGGGTTAAACGACTATATGGTTAAATCCCATTTATAAGGTACACTCTTTTTCCTGTTCCCTTGCATCACATGATTTATCGTTGACTGGCTATACATGGAATCGCATATTCCAACACTTCCAAATTTAAATTAGTCTCCAAGGATTGAGATTAATATACTTTCCTATGGATACAATCCTAATTTTCTTTTTTGAAGTCATTTTTATTAAATTTACAAAATCTTCAACATTACCTTTACTAATTTTGTAAGATTCAATTTGAACATGTTGCTCCACATTTTATGCAGACTTGATGCAAACATTCTTGAATTATTCTGTTTTTGATAAAGCTTTAAACAACTATCCCAGGGAATTCTTATGAATTTGCTATTAAATAAAAGATGAAAGCTAATTATTTAAATTGAAAACATGTTTGTAGACTGAAAGTCATCTTACATGCATCAAAGAATGTCTAAAGATTTGAAACATTTTACAATATGAGTCATTTCTATAGGAATAAGTTAATAAATAATAGCTTCTGATGAGACATGGATTTTATCTTGTAAATAAAGCTCTTCTTAATGCAAAATTGATATCTAAGAATAGAATTTAACCATCCCTTTCAGGTGGTGAGATGAAGTAAGCCAGCATAGAAGCATCTCCAGCCATTCAGAATGCAAGTAAAAATAAAAATAAATCAAATTTTAAACAAAAACCCACAAATAAAATTAATCAAAACAAAAACCTCATCACATCACCAAAAAGAAGCCACAAAGAGATCAAAAAGCATCAAAAAATCAGGCACAATATCCTCAACAAAAAAATGAGCACGAATCGAATTTAATTTTTCAATCCGCAACACACACGCAAATCTTCTCTAATCAGCAAAATGTCTGTTGATGTCGAAAAAAGGATTCAACCGCATTAACACAAAAAAAAATCTTTCTGATTTTGCTTTTTATTCCGTGCACACCATCTTTGTGCCATATACATATAAATATATATTTTTAAAATCAATATCGATTAGTGTTCTTAAAGCGATGACGAGAAATTGAAATCGATTTAGCGTGTGCGGTGCAGAGTGTTTTTATTCCATTTATGAACATACATATCTTTCCGTAAATCCATTTTCTCTCCACATGAAGGTAGAAGCACACATTTTTTTTTTGTATGTGCTCTCATCGACTCACTTGCTCATACATATGTGTACATTTAATTCATTTCGAGTCTCATTCTCGAGGCAAAATGTTTACGATGAGTGAAAAATGT